TACGTGAAGAACGGTCTAGAAGGAAAACTGAATAGGAGATTATGGGCATTTTTTTCTTTTCAGTCTTTTGACAATTTTTCTATGAGTGTGGACTACTTAATTAAAGGGAAGGAAATTTCTTTTAATGAAATGAACAAACAAGTGAAAAAAAGAAGGGAAGAGGGTCGGCCCACAAACAAGTTAAACGCACATCAAGGGTCTACCTAGAAGACATGGATAACTGGGACATGGCTTCATTTTGCTTTCTCTCTACCTTTGTACATGCTTAGAAATTTCCAAAAGTAAGTGTGAAAAGAAAGGAATTCATGTAGGGCTGACCCAGAAAACAATGAGGAAACTCCAGCACCCAGACCCACAGGCCAGGAGAGCCCCACAAAGCTGTAAGCCCTGGCTGCAGAGTAAAGTCTTTTATGTAGGATCAGGTGGAACCACATGAAATTGTAGCAATCCAGTTATTTTTACCTAGAAAAATGGCCCAGAGCAAAGGATCTGTACTGGGCAGTTGTGGTCTCACCTCTCCCAGGCCATGTCCCTAGATATCTCTCTGAGCCTAAATCTGTATCATCTGGGGAACGAGACTGAAATCAGAAAAGATCATGTGAGTGCCAATGACCTCTCACCTTTCAGCACAGTACACCCTAAAGGGATGGGGTGGGGAGGTGGGGGAACTAAATAAAGCATAGGCCCACTGAGCCGCAGGTGACACCCCTCAGACAGTGACAGGTGAGGCTGGAGAGCAGCTGTGTGGAGCAGGGCAGACGGGTCTCAAATGGCCAGCTGAGGGATTTGTACTTGACTCAGATGTGAAAACTTTATGCAAAGCAAGGGCATCAACAACATAGTATCGGGAGGACTGCCCTGGTCTTGTGATGGACAGACTGGAGGAGGAAATGGCATGGGCCTGCCAGGTGCTCGTGGCTCAGCCTTCTTTTTTGGGCAGCAAATCAATACGCTGGCCTTTGAGCATGGTATTTCAATCCAACTACAAAGCACCGTTTTGCAAAGTTACCTTCATATTTACCTGCCATTTGTTCCCAGTCCCTGTTTATTCCTCAAAGAGCCCTGAGAACACACCCATGGTTACCATGGGGATTATCTCCGTGGTGCTGTATCATGCACAGACAACCCCTAAGCAAGAAATGCCACATTTTATGATAGGTCTTGCTGTCCCATTTGTAACCGTACTTCATGGGTGGCCAAAATTCCAGACACTCACCCCCAAAGAAAAGCATCTGAAATCTGAAAGCAATGTCACAGCCTCCTGGCATGTTCACCACCTTGCCTGTCTTCAGTTCAGCAACTACCCACCATGTTTTTCCACTGGGACGTTCTCTTTTTATGTAATAAACTTGGAGGAAATGTCCTAGTCGGCAGTCACAGAACGATCTCTATTAAATAGGAGAATGGGATTCGATTTGTCTGAAATAACTTGAAGGCATCAGAAGCCAATGGCTAACAAGGGCCTGTGAGTACCCAGATGATCAAAGACCAGGAGAGGATGCACAGAGGGTGAGGCTGAAGCTACGGATGGACGAAGCAGCCCAGAGGGGTGGACAAATGTAGTTACTGCCACGAGACGAGAGCTGGGCGGTGGCAGCAAGTCAGCATGTCACATGGACCATATGTGCAGCATACTTCACAGGCAGTGCCACCTGCTCTGCTTTAATGGAAGGTTCCAGTGCAATACCCAAACACAGACTGTCACTACCGAATGCTCCCCAAACTTCACCCCAGAGCTCTCAATATGTCAACATTCAGTCAACTAGACTGCAGCTATCTGACATTTTCCCCTTTTCGGTTACTGCTTTACGACAAAAGGTTCCACCTTCAGACAGCACAGACTTCTGCTGTTTTCTAATGAGCTCCTAAAGGCTGAAAACAGACATTGCAACTTATGCCCATCCCCCCACCCCCCAAATGGCCTCTAGATGCCCCACTGCCACAGGAAAACCCATCTCTCCTCCTAGAAGTTCACTGACGAGGCAGTCACTTAAGACTTGGGCCACATTTTCCTACTCAAACAATGCAAAGCCACATTTGGGTTCTGATGTAGCTCACAGAAAGCAGGTTAACCCGCAAGTTCTGGAGCTGGGCACCCAGCAGGTAAGAGGGCATGAGCACAGCCACACTGGTGGGAAGGATAAAAGGATCCTGGAGTTACGATCCCTGAAAAGATTTAAAATCACGAGTCACTGTGGAAAAGGGAAGGAGCAGAACAATTTTCAGAAAAACGGACAGCAGATGGGAACCACTTTCAATCCCTCCTCTCAAGGAGCCCTCAGGAGAGGTGACCTGTGGAGCCCCACACCTCCTGGCGTGAGTGTGGATAGGGACTGGGACTTGCTGGGACAGAGGGGATGATGTCTCTCCTGTGACCACGTTAGGTCACAGAAGGCCCCACCCTGCTGGCTGACTGTCCTTGCTGACGTGATGAGGTCAGTGGCCATGCTGGTAAACTCATGTGGCAACAAGCTGCAGGTGGCCTCCGGGCCAGCCAGCAAGAGGCCGGGGCCCCAAGTCCGACTGCCACGGGAAACGGATTTGGCCAAGGACCCAGGGGAGCGTGGAAGCAGATTCCACCCCAGCCAAGCCTCCAGATGAGAACCCGGTCCCAGTCAGCACCTGACGGCAGCCTCGCGGGACACAGCACAGCACCAGCTACGCCGCACTCTGACTCCTGACCAGTGAAACTGAGAAAACAGGTGTGTGTTGTAGCTTCTAAGTGTGGAGTGATCTCTTATGACTAATCCATGGTCCCAGCAGTCAGGAGATAAGAGTTTGCATTCATTCTCTGAGCAAAAACACAGGGGCCCCAGCATTTCTTTAACCTCTGCGTCGACATTTGAGTTAATCTTTACTTCACCTGAAACCATTTTTTCTTGGTTAAGGCTGACTGGGAAGCAGTTCCCCCTTCTGGAAGAACGGCATACACCAAATGGCTATTATTTCATTTTTTAAAAATTGTGTATCTACCCTCTGCCACGCTTCTGCATTCTACAGTCTCTGCTCTCAAGGTGCTCACAGGCTGGACAGAAAGACACAAGCAACCATCCAGTTGGTCAACAAATACTTACCTCACAGCCCCTGCATGCCGCCCCCTTCTAAGTGCTCAGGAAACAGGGAGCCAACAGGGCCCCCAACGCCTCGGCTGGAGGAGACAGTGCGATCACCCAAAGAGCACACACAAGTGTGGCAAGACGGAAAGGCCTCCAGGAGATGCAACATTTCTGTCACTTGGTCTGTATCTCTTCACCCAAGAAGGGGTGACATCGCGGTTGTGTCCAGTAGGTTGTGGAGTCCCCTGATTTAGGCACAGTTTAGGACCTGTGCCCGAGGACCTAAAGCCACCAAGGGCTTCCCCACGCATTTTGTCCTAGAGCTGTTCACCCCGAGACGGAACAGTCTGATTGAGGCTTTTCACTCAGACACAAACACTCACCCCCCGCCAGGCCTGTTGTTAGGTAATAGAGAGGTTCCAAAATAGTCTGTTATGCCAGCCACAGTGCATCTGCCTGTTGCAGTAGCAGGAGGAAGGCGGCAGAATGAACTCACTCTAAGCACTTTTACTAACTAACCACTAGAAAAAGAAGGAAAGAAAAGAATATTCGAGGCTTACAGTGGCTCTTGCCACTCCATGGAGTCCCTTCCCACTTGCCCTCTGGCAAGAGCCTAATTTTCCTGTCTTTGGCAAAGTACACCTGGTAACGCTGCACCTTTGCTTCTGACATTTACAAGGTTGCAGCAGCCTGGAACATTACTTACAGCCGTAACCACCCTCCACCCCGCCCTCAGAACTAGGAGCTCCAGGGGCCCCTCCTCCTTCCTTCCATTTCAAGGCAGCTGCTCAGGGATGCTGACCGTGTGGCAAAGGTCACTGGCTAGATCCCCCACAAAGTCCTGCTGATGAAAGACTGCGTGGGCTGCTGATCCCCACTGTGTGTGCACTCCTATTACGGCTGGACGCTCGGAACTAAGACCATGGACGGCCCCTGGGGACTGTAAGAATGTCAACAAGAAGGCGAAAAGTCAGGTGGGGTTCTTGAGACAAACACACACTCACACTCTGAAAAACAACAATTTTTTTTTATAAATAAAACAGTGACAATGACGAATTCTATGTGGTAAACTCTTTTTTCTTAATTAAAAAATAACTGGAACAAAAGCCTTCAAATATTTTAACAGCAGAACCCTTTTCTCCCAAACTGCATCCTATGCCAAACCCAAATATGAGACTCAGATGAAACTGGACCTGCTCTTATTTAAAGAGAGAAAAGGACGCTAAGCCCACTGGCCAGCCTTGATCTTGCCCCGCCTGGCTCCTGTGCCCCCTCAGAACTCTGGGAGCCCAAGGACCCGCCTGAAACACATTGATTTACAGCAGATCCTTATAGTGCCTGAACCCAAGAAGAAACTACAGGAGAATTCTTAAGTAAATGAGTGAAAAAGAGAAGATGGAGAGGAATAGGAGCCAGATGAATAGTTTGGGAGCCGGGGAAAAATCGGAGCCAGCTTTTGACCTTGAAAAATGCAAAGGCTCACAGGGCCAAAGGCAGGAACGCGGCTCGATGCATCATTGGCACACTGCACACCATCACGGAACGGCCAGCGGCCACCGCCTGGAGCACAGGTCCCCCCACCTGCTGCTGATCACATGGCCCCAGGGGGGAGGGGAGGCTGCAGGCACATCCTCTTCCACAGCATGCCCTGCGGATCAGGCCTTTGTGCGGATGGCCTCACCTTTTCTGTAGGATGTTAAGAGTTCTGTTTGAAGGAAACGCAGAAATTTAAGAAACCCACCACGGTGAAAAGTTTTCTGATGAGAAGGAAGCGCTAGATGAGTCTGAAAAAGCATAGCAGTTATAGATTTTAAAAGGACAACTGAAGGTTTTTGTTGTCAGTTCACTTAAAACGTCAAAAGCCAGCTAAAGGTCTAAGTGAATAACATATTCTAGCACAAAAGTGACAATCATCCTGCTGGCGCGCTGAAGGGCTGACTGTACCTGGAATATGATGCGCGGCCTCGTCACCCAATGATCGCCTGGGTCTTGGAGCAAAGATGTCTCAGGAGGGATGAGACGGGGGCTTCAGGCTCCTGGGGGGGGGCGGGCAAAGAGGAGACATCAGATGCCAGAACTTCCGTGTCTGGGGCTGTTACAGGAGGAATGCTTCTGGAAATTCGGCTCGGCACCAGGAGGGACATCCCAGCTGTCACACCAACTGAAGGCGGCATGAAGGGCTGGGGAAGCAGGGGTGACCCACCATGGGGCTGGGGCGTCACTAGGGGACTTCAGAAGGAGACAGGAGACCAGACGAGATGACCTCCAACCCAGAGACTCTACCCCATCACCTCAACAAACGGATCAGATTTAAAATAACGATGCTGCCGAAGCATCCCCCACACAGGCTATTTCCATGAATCTAGGGCGTGGAGGTGGGTATGCGAGAGCTCTGAGGCCCTTGCTAAGGACCACGAAGGGGAGTGAACCCTCTCCTGACACTGGCATTAAGAACCGAGGTCAGTGGGGGCAGAAAACCTTAGCTGGTTCCTTCAGCAAACAGTGGACTCCAATCTGTACAGTCAGCCATATTACAGTGGAGCTCTCCTGTACCAGCTGACACACGGGCATCGAGTATACACCTGCCCTGATAACTTCCGGGCGGGCCACAGATTGTTCTAAATATAGGTTGTGCACCACTGTCGTGCCTGGTGGGGTGGCCTGCAGTCCCACAAGGAATGACTAGAGTCCCCACTGCCTGAATGCAAAAGTCACTCTACCCAGAGGGCATGCCAGGAAGAACCTTCTTCGTGAGGCCTAGGAAGTCCTTCTCTTTCTCAGTCTTGGCATGTCTCCTTTGCACATTCTCATGCGCTCACCCAGCAGCTGGGGAGGTTTCATTAAGCTTCCTGAATGAGATTTGCACCTAACATGAACCCAGAGAAGATTATTATCATTATGCCAAAAAGCCACAAAGATGTAATCAATAGCCGGAGTTTCATAACTTTAACAGCAGCAAACGAGTTTTCCAACAATGGGAACCCTATTCCATCCAACTGATCCCGTTCAGACATTCCTTCCACATCAATATTTCATTCTTTTCCACTTTCTATTTTGAAAACATCCAAACTTACAGAAGAGGTAAATGAACATTTACATAGTTTCATTTACATTTGCCAGTATTTAACATTTTGCCATATTTGCTTTATCTTTATAGAAAGACACTTTTCTCGTGAACCATTTGCAAGTGAGCTATAATAGCTACCATGACACACTTGACTTCTAAGTATTTCAGTAACTCCTAAGAAATACACTCTCCCACCTAACAGTGATGCCATTATACAACAAAGAGGCTGAACATTCACTCAAACACAGCCCATAATCAAATGTCCAAAACTGTCAACATTTTGCTATTTTTTGATGCTCTATCATGTGCCAAGTACCACAGGGCACTGAGAGAAGCAAAGATGAGTAAGGCTCAGGTTCAATGTCCCAGGGAGGAGACAGACATACAGATGCCCTACTGTGAGATGGAGACCCAGGTGCCAATTCATATGAGGGCCTGTCTTGAGTGTGACAGCCAGAAAAATGCGCCCCCCTCACCCGTGGCCAAATCCTAATTCCAGGAACCTGTGAATATGTTAGTTTCCCTGACAAGGGGGAATTAAGGTTGCACAAGGAATGAAGAGGTTTTATCAGCTGACCTTGAGATGGGAAGATTTTCCTGGGGGTGGGCCCAGGGTAATCAGCAGGTCTTTAAAAGATGGCAGAGGGAATGGGAGAGTCAGTGTCATAGGGACGCAGTAGGACAGAGGCTTCGTCAGCTGTTGCTGGCTCTATGTCAGGAGACCACAAGCCGAGGAAGGCAGTCCACCCTAGAAGCTGGGAGACGAGGAACTGGGTTCTCTCTCAAGAGCCTTAAAGAAACACCCATGACAACACCTTGACCTGAGCCCAGTGAGACCTATTTCAGACTTGACCTCCAGAACCATCAGGCTGATAAATCTGTGTTGTTTTAAGCCATTAAAACAAACAAACAAAAACAGTAGCAACAAGGCTGGATATTGTCAGGGTCCTGGGTGTGGGGGTAAAGTCATTGAAGTCCTTAAGTCTAAGCCAAGAAAATCGTGCTTTAGGAGGGAAGGTGGAAGGGACAGCCAAGAGCCATGACTGAATCAGTACCTTAGGAAAAAAACTCTGGAATAAAAGGAGCAGAATCTAGAAGACAAACAACCAGCGATCTCTGTTGCTAAGGATAAAATTTGAGGTTTCAAGCAAAAAAAAAATTTTTTTTGAAAACTTGCATCCATCACCAAGATCTCAACAGCTTCCCAAAAGTTAAAGAGGCTTCTCGTGACATTGGTGGTGATAGTAACAAATGTGATTTTTAGAAAAACATAATATGATGAAATGAAATATGTCAACTTCACAGATGTGTGCAATTTATCAAGGCCGTGATGAAGTGGAACAGAATCATACGTGGGTAACAGGCTGCCACAAAGGGCAGGGCATCATGGTTTGGAGTACAAAAGAGGACATCCCCGAAGCCATCGTTTCTTTACATACTAATCAATCCAACTGATGCAGAAGTGGAAGTAATCCAGTTGCCTTCTACGAAACTAACATTAAGTAGATTTGAAAATATGTAAGACGATACTCCTATTACACTCTTTTGTTTTGGAAAACAGTTATTTTTTGTAAAAATGTATGTTCATATAGAATGGTTTATTGATGCTATTTTAATCAAATTGATACATGAATATTTGTAATGTGATAAATATTGATACATATGACCCACCTAAGCCAAAGCTCCTGGAATCCCTCAATAGTCTAAGAGTCTGAGGGGTCCTAAGACCAAAAAATTTGAGAACCGCTGCTTTCCGGGCTGCCCAGTGAGAGGCACAGAGCCAGCCGACACAGGTTCACATCAGGAGCGCAGCTCCCAGCTTCTTCAGGCTCCTGGCAGTGACCGCTGCCCACTCACTGTCCTGTCCGACCAGCAGTTCACGCTCAACTGGAGAGAGGAAGGCGCGCCATACAGCAAGCCGGGCTGAGCTCGTGGCAAATAAATTCACTGGGGCTGTTTGTCTTTAATCCACGAGCCTTCCAACCCATTTATTCCAGTTTTTCAGATCTGAACACTCGCTTACTAAAAAGAATAATGAGAATGCAACATACACGTCACACCTAAAGACATCGATGTCACTTATTTCACAAACGCAAGAAGCAGCATTCCACCACCACCAGTGACAGGTTTCCAGAAGCACGCAGAGACTGTCAAGGTATGACTGTGACACCATGTGACACCATCACACTGATGGGAAACAGGTACCTAAAGTAACCTGAAAACATCTGCCAGTGTGTTTGCACTAAACAGTTTATAAATCAGAAGGAATCAGATCTTTCCATTCGGTTCACTCCATTAAGCAAAAATGTTTTTTTATTTATTTCATTAAACATAATGCCCAGCGTTTTGACAACTAACATAGCTGCTTTGCCCATGAATGAGTTTTTACACTGTTCTTCGTTCCACAAAAGTCCTGAGTGCCAGACACACTTCTAGAAGCGAGGGATGCAGCAGTGAACTAACTGGACCAAAATACCTGTCTTCGTGGTGTTTACATTATATTACTGAGAAAGCTTCTCTGAAAAGAAAAAATGGATGAAATACTAAGTGGAGTTAGCACACTTCTAAGCCCCTAAAGCAACTCCATGAGATAATTAGAAATTAGGAACAAGATGAGCCCCGACTTCAACAAGTGCTGCAATCCCACAAGAAGGTCGGATATCGGGGTTATTGTTAAGAAGGAAGCTGCAAGCAGGAAGCACACACAGTTCAAGGCCATCAGGGGGCTTCTGTTAAGTCTACTGACTCCAACCAAGAACTGGGGCAAGGACGGAGTTCCCTGGGGATGGCTGAGTTCCTACAGAACAGCCAAGAAGACAAGCAGGGTGTCAGGATCCTGGAAGAAGGGCATCTGTAGTTTGAAAAAGCAAGCCATAATAACATGTTTTCTTTGGCTTGAATAGTTTTGAAATTTCAGCATGAGGTTTTCGCTTTTTAAAAGGCACCGTGGGCTAAGAAGCTGAAAGCCCCACGATGGAGTTAAGTGAATTAGCTTTCCTGTTGAAGTACAGAAACGGATGGTGGAGTCAAAACCTGAGGCGCAGAACAGAACCCACCATGTCCCCGGATCCATGAGGACAAGCCTCCAGGCACCACCGAAGGACCCAGAACTGTGCTCAGAGACTTGCTCCTCTTTCCCCATTCATGGAGCCTGCAGTACGGGCAGTAGGGGCCGTGTCAAGAACTAGCCATCACAGCGGCTGCACCCACCACACACTAAGAGCTGAGGATTCTGAAATGGTTTCCTGGACGACAGCAACTGGGGAGCAAGCTGCTCTGTCCTGAGACTTTGCGTTTTGGATTTATCCCAACATCAGCAGACTCCTGGTAGCTGAAATAATACACTTGCGAGGGGCAGCCTTGACTGATGCCAGGAAACACCATGCTTTTATGTGTCAAGGTCCCCTCCACTCTGTCCTACCCACACTTTGACTTCTGAGACAGCTCTGTGCCCATGACACATTGTCACTTCCCTGCTTCTCAGTGATAACAGTACTGTGTTTGAACTGATGACAGTGGGTTTTACAGAGGTTACTAATGGTCCTCAGGAAAACTGATGGGATGAGTTCTGGTGTCCACTTGAGAGTGTATCTCTTCTCCCAACTTCCAATGTCCACCCTGACTCCACCTGCTCTGGGGACCCACCAGTTTCTGTCCACCTCCTAAGGCAACAACATTAAACATGAAAGCTGTTTGAAAGACTGCACAATCTACAATAGATAAGACATTTGTGGTTGTGCAATGCTTGTTAGGGGAAAAAAAATACCAAACTCTAAAGGAAATGTGATCAAGGAAATAAAGCCAGATATTTCTCCTAAACCAACCCTTCAAAAATTAAAATTACTATGGCGCATTCTACATCAAGGGAAAGCCTAATGAACTCACAATTTGATGATTCATCCTTCCTCTGAGATGCCAAATACTCCTCCGAAGGCCACAGAACCCTTTGCTGTGCACTGGGACAGGCCAGCGAAGGCCATCCTCCCCAACATCACAGATCTGGGGACGGCCCACTGTGGAAGGAGGCAGAAGAGAGGCTGGGAAGGGCCATGTCAGAGGCTACAGGGCAGCGGTTCTAAAGAGGGTGACTGTGGGCCCCAAAGGACATTTCTGTCGGTCACAGTGGAGGGCTGGTGGTGTTGGCACTGTGTGTGTTGGGGGGTGCAGGATGCTGCTGACCATCCTACAGTGCACAGCTCAGCCCCACAGCAAAGCATTATGGACTAGCACCCAGGCAGGGAAAACCCACCTTCCTATGCACAACAGTGGGCCACAGAGTGCGCTACAGATTTATTTTTAAGTGGACTGGTTTAAAAATTATTATTAAAGAATGTTTTATTAAAAATAAAACAAAAAAAACCCTAAGAACAATGTATACAAATGAGCATGGATTCATCACAAAATCCGTATCACCACATCCTTGGAGAATCCCTGATGTCCTCAAACCAGGACTGAGACTAACACAGCAGCCAGCAGATGATGAAAAGAGTAAATGAGTAAAACATGCAGTGTGAAGTCAGACAAGCTTCACTTACACTCTGGGTTCTCAGTGCTGAAGGGAGTTTGCTTGAGGTTCATTCACTCTGCGTGTGACATGGAAACGATGCCAAGTTTGAAGAGACAGGAATGCCGGGTGGGGGTTCCTGGGAGAGACAGAAACTCACCTGCACTCTGTGCCTGTTCTGTCTCCCAGCACCCCCCCCCCAGGGGAGGACCCCTTGTCCCCATTTCACAGATGAGGTACGAAAGGTCAGAGCAGGAGACTAACTCAACTTGGACGTTCAGGCTGCATTGCAGCGTCCAGTGTCCAAGGATGGCAGGCAGCCTCCCTCTCAGAAAGGCTCCGCCTGCCCATAAGCCCTGAGCCTCTTTATTTCTTACACCTGAGAATTTGAAAAATGAAATCATAAGTCTTAAGAGTTAGAAGGGACCAATAAGTCATCTAATGCAGAAATCCTCTCAGACTGTAAAAGGCAAAAATGATTAGGGCAGGAAATAATGGGGAGAAAGAAGAAGTGGGGGTGAGTGCTGGGGTGGGGATATGGAAGAACATTCTGCATTCCCAGCCACCTCCCGCCCCCCATTTAAATACTCTCACCAACTACCCTGAGAATTCTGACTCTGGTCCAGCCCTAATAAACGTGCCTATAGTCAGGCATGTATGTCTCCAGTAACAATGATAACGGCTAGCACTTGTATGAAGCGCCTACTGTGTACCAGTACCCTCTTGTAAGGCACTGAGAGTGATGTCATTCAGTACTCAAACTGAGCCCTTGAACCTCGACGCTTACGGCCATTCCACGCAGCTCACGCATGGAAACCAGCTGTCTAAAGGCCGCGTCACGTGGAGCCCTGGCTCAAGCCTCAGCACATCTAACTCCAAACCCACCCTTGTGCTCCAGAGTTTTTGATCCAACTCTAAGAGTCTACAGAAGACCTATAATAGGTCCCCTAGGGCAGTGGGCCACAATGTCATCACAGTGAAGCTTTCATTAGACACGGGGACCATCCCCCCACTTAGCATAGGTTTTGGACAGGACTTTGGTTGCAATCCCTGATAAAAACCATTCAATTTATACTTCAAGTGGATGAACTTTATGGTACATAAATTATAATTAATAAAACTGTTTAAAAAAAAGAAAGCTAAGAGGTGTCCAATCTGAGGGACTACAGTATAGTTTTTACTCATGGTGCCGGGGCAGACCCAGTAATTCCCACCTTGGGAGGCTGGAAGGGAAGATGTACGGCGGACAAATGTGGGGCTGCTTCCGGCACGAAATGCTCCGACAGTTCAGGAGGCTCAGTCCAGTGCTGAGTGCCCAGCCACACCTGACAAGTTTACGCTGCTCTCCTGGGCACTGATAATCTCAGCACAACTCCCCACTGGCCGTGTCAGCCCGACCGTCCTGCCACTCCCACGGGCGGATGTGTCCCCAGGAGGCAGTAGCTCTGAAGAAGCATGTACAGACAAATGAACCTTGGATGTGGCTGGAAGCTGTCAAGGGCAGCCCAGGTTCAGGACACAGGAGCCTGCCTGTGCCAGCCCAGGGATTACCAAAGGGAATTAAGCAAGCGTTTGCAGGCCTTGGCCTCGAGTGTGTGCTCTGATGGACTTAATTTGTTCTCCTGGGGCTAATTCCCTGGCTGTGTCACTGCAGTCCTGCACTTGAACAGTCATGGAAACGTAACCTGCAGGGAGTGACTTACGACACCAAAGGGCTCCCACACAGGGGACCATTTCCCCCGGGAAGGGGGAAAAGGCAGGCAGGGAACCACACACACCTGCCACTTAGCAGTTGGGACGCAATTTAAAAATGGTTCTGACCTCCTGTTTTCTCCTCTAAACTCACATAAGAGTTCTTCTTGAGAACATTTTCATCCGTGTGAAACGGTCCCAATGGGCTATATATGAAGTATGAAACAACCAAGGAACGCCGGTGCTGGGAAGGGGTGACCAGGTGATCCAACACACTCCAAACCAGCCTATTCGCACAGGGCCTCCAGGAATCTGCTGTACCTGGGCAGCACACAGTTTTTTATAACACTGTTCCTTCAAAGGAATCCACCCTTGCATCATTTTTTTTTTTGAGAAAACACCAAAATAATCTGAAATCAGATGTGAAACACCTCTGTCACCCACCCAGAATGCCATGATGACACGGCCGTGTGAGCTGTGGAGGCGTCAGGGAACTGCTTTTTCTAACATACATTTCACTTAACATACTATTAAGATAAACATGTGTGCTTTTTGTGCTCCCTAAAATTATCTTGCACACAGTACACTTAGGGAAACAGATCTAGTCCCCAAGTTGGCACACTATGGCACTCGGCCCATTTTGGTACTGACCACGAGTTAAGAATGGTTTTTATTAAGTTTAAGAACAAAAAAGGAGGAACAGGAGAAAGAGAGCACGGTTATTTGACAGAGACTACATGTGACCAAGAAACCTAAACTATGTGCCATCTATCCCTTTTCAGGCCAGTGTGCTAAGCCCCGGTCTCATCTACACCCTGATTTTACCAATGAGGTCACTGAAGTTCAAAAGCACTGAATGACTTCAGACACACTTGCTCCAAGTAATTGAAGTAGTTTTACCAAAGAAGCCATCAGCTTAAATGCTTTCAAGATGGGCCTCTGTCCAATCATATCGGCTACATATTAAGAATTGATGCTTGTTTAAAGCAAACCAAAATGTAAGGCTGCACAACTCATCCAGCTTGCCTCTGTCTCCGATGTCTGAAATCACACCCTGTTCGCCCCAGGGCCAGGCTCCAGCTTTCTCCACTGCGGTGCTCTGAGGGGCTCACCAGGGAGCATGCCCAGCTGTCCGGCAAGTAGGAGCACGGAAGGCCTCTCTGAGCGAACAGCACCCCGATACAGCCCGCTGTGCTCACAAACTCTCCCCTCCGCCCTCCAGGCCTCGGGGGCTAGGGCTGCTCAGAGTGGCCAGCCCTTCAGGACCCCAGGCTACTAACACATGGCCAGGATGGGGGGGTGGGGGGAGATTGGGAGGGCGGGGGGTGTGCACCCCTGCCTTGTGAACAGGAGCTTTAACTCACCTCAGACTACTTAATTTGAAAGTGCCATCTGTTCCCTGCAGGGGCCCTGATGGCTGTAGCCTCCCAGGCAGTGAGCTCGGGATGTCCGTGGCTGCTGATGTCACCTGAGGAATGTGGGCAGTCCGGGCCACACCAAGTACAATGCCTCTATTATGCCCCAAGCAGCTGGACAGGGCCTGAGCCATTCAGCAACTGGGCCACCTCCCTCTACAGTGAGCTAGAGACCTCCCCCAGCATCAAAAGTGCCCTGAGAGATTCTAGTGGTTAGTTACGATGACACACTGCATTATAAACACATACTTTAAAGTCCTCAATTTAACATAGTACAATCTCAGCAGCCGGTATGTTGCAGATACTGCTAGGCATTTCCAATGCACAGAAAATCAGCAATGAAGTCTCATTTTGTAAGTGAGAAGACTGAGCCTCAGGGTATGTCGATGGTGCTTATCAGGGCTCCACATGGCTGACATGGCCTTGTCCCAAACCCCTTCCATGGGGCCAGTGCCCCACTAGGATCCACCTCTGTGGCTGACCAAGCCCGACCCTGGATACAGCAAGACCTCCAGCCAGTCCGTCCTCAGCCGTCTGTCCCAGTCACACTACACAAATTCAGTTAAAACAAAAGTAAGGTCAGGATGGGGATGGGGGCTGCACTTTTCTGACATAACATGGCAGCTCCCTCTTCTGACCTTCCTCTGTCCTGAACTCAGCATGGAAGAGAACACCAGGGTTCTGCCACTCATATCAAGCTCTGTTATTGATTTTGTTGAACTAAGTACACACCGGATGGAAAAAAAAATGTTCCTGTGTCTCATTTTATATCTGCTACTGGTCTAATGGGGAATCACAAGACCTACCTGCCCCTGGCTGTGCAACCTTGGGCAAGTCACTCTACTTCTCTGTTTCAGTCCAATCATCTGAAAATGGGATAAGGACACTCACCTCACCTACACCTTCCCACCCCACCCCTGCCTATTCCCCACTGTGAAGATCAAGGAATGCAGGGTCAAGACAGAGGGGGAAATGTCTCAGATAAAACTGGATTCAAAATATGGAGGACGCCTGACTTCTCTGAGCTTCCTTTTCCCCCCTGCAAGATAAAGACAACAGCAGTAGCTGCTTCAGAGTTTGGGGGAGGCTCAACGAACTGATGTGTGCGATGCACTGGGGGCGCCTGGCACACAGTGAGTGCTATGCATATGTTTGCTGTTAGTGGTGGTCGTTTCTTAATCTCTGAAATTTTATTAATAACCAACTCATAAAGGGTTGTACTCGAAATGATAGCTGTTTTTATTATAGGTGGTATTCTGCAATGGACAGAGGACTACAAATATACAGCTAAAAAATAAAAATAAGTTTATGGTTTATCTCCACCTGTGCTAACTCAGGTGGTAGAAGATTTGAGGGTAATTGCCTAGAAATGCTTAAAGTGACTTAAAACTATTAAAATATATTAAATACATATGAATATAAACAACATAATTAATAATGACTGAGTTTTTAACCACTGATTTTCATTTGTGAATATTTAAATACCCAGGTTTATGTACGCTCACTACCAACGTCCTCTGAGGTGGATGGGGGAAGGGACTGGCAGTCACCGCAGCAGCCCTGGAACCGAGCTTGTCATGTCAGTGCTGGGAACTGTTCAGAGATGTGCCTCCTTTAAAAAGAAGCAGGTCACACACACTGTGGGCTGTGGGTCTCTCTCCTGGACGCCACCACTCTACCCAGAGGCCTTTGCGTCTGTTTGGCACTTGATCCCAAATTTGGAACTTTTACCTTTCATTTCACAAATGAAATGCTTTGTTTTACCTGGTCCACCACAGGGGCGTCCCCTCCCACTTCCACTCTGAACCCAAACGGAAAAGATTACCCAGTCGTCTGGACACTCACAAAGCCCAGTTATTTGTTTTGCCAATCTGTGTACACATTGAATAAAAATGTTTGTTTTCCATGTCCCACTTTCAGCCTCTAAAGGCAAATGATTAAAGAAGAATTTCAAGGGCATTTTTTTCCGCTCATCCCCTCCAACCCAGCTATTCTCAGCAGCCTCACTTCCTGCCTTTTAACTTACATTTCTGTTGGAGTATCATCCACTCTTCTTTGTTGACCTTCATGTGTATAATATTGCTTCAAAACCCTTCTTCAAAGGAAAGGTCAAAGTGAAACATTACGGGGAAAGATGCACCCGCTCGCAGAGCTGAGGGCACCTGCGGGGTGTGTGGCACAGGCACCGGGGTGGGGGGGGGCAGCGCCACCTGATTGCACCCCTGCCCAGAGAAGCCCAATGTACCAGCCAGGGCCCCCTCAGGGGCAGAGCCAGGATCCCTCAGCCACATGTACTGAGTGTCTACTGCACACACACTGTTAGGAACTGCAGGTGACAGGAAAAGCTATGTGGTCCCTGCCCTACAGGGGCTTGTGGTTCAACGGGGAAAAAGGACGTATACCCCCAAAATCGACAGATACAAAAATATACAAAAACGGGGAAAAGGACATAAACAAACAAAAACATACACAAAAAAGCAGGATTTCAGAAAGATGGACCATTGGGAAGCTGGTAGAGAAGGGGAAAGTCTGGCCAACAAGATGAAATATTTCCAAAACGACAGGCCATTCAGAGGACTGATGGCCAACCACTAGCTTGGTTTTCAGGGGGATGAAGGTGGGTGGGGAGAGACTGCATTCTCTCCAGTTAGCTTCTTCAGAAAGGAATGGGGTTCTCAGCCAACTGCCTGCATCTCCACAGTATCTGTAGAGGACCCCACAGAGTTACACCCCACAAAAGCAAGCACTTGGGTAACTCGGTGTTGGCACCTGTGGGCACCCAACCAAAATCTGCAGAATGAATGAATGAATCAATCAATGCTACACTTCTCTGAGAGCTTCGCTCTGAAATTTGAAATCTTATATAATTCTTGAAAATGACAGTCTAGGGTAAGTCTTAACATTCTGTGGCACTCACCAGTCTCAAAGGCTGTTTGCAATTGAACCAGTTTGTCAGCTGATTGCCAGTGTCTGTGCTGGCTGGGGCTACACCAAGCACGTGAACAAAAGCACCTGCCATTCCGCCCCAGGAAGCACGTGCTCAATTCACAGAAAGAAAGCAGAGAAGAAAGGCTGCCACCTCCCCAGCTGAAGCAACGCAGCTCAGGCATTTGTTTTGTGTCCTTTTGTGTAACAGTTGTAACTATTTTTTAGCTCCCGGAGCGCTTAAGCAAACAAACATCTAAGAACACCAGGATTTTCTTATTTATACATAAAAATATTATTCAACCCTGCACCAATTTTCCTTGATCTGTGCTGGAAGAAATCCCAGGGGTGCCTTATCAAAACAATGAACTTCAAAAAAAAGACAACGACCTACATTTTAAAAAGGGCACCACTGTATCCTGCCTCTAACTTAGGATAAATCCCCACTATATTTTGAATTTTTATAAAGAAACCTTTATTTGTTTTGCCACTATGAACATTCCATTCTGCTAAAAAGCCCCAAATTTAGAATTTACAAACAGATCAAGGCCGGCCAAAGTAAAAGCTGTATTGAGCTTCTCGATAGGCTGTATTACTCGGCATAAAACAAACATATCTGCCCCTGCTGCTAAACTTGTAGGTATTTTACGATGGAGTGAAAAGAAAAAAGCAAGTTTAAAGTAAAAAGCCAAAAACGAGTTAATGTACAAATTAAACCAAAGGTTTTCCCTACCAATGCCTGAAAAGTTTACATTCCAAATGGAGTCCACGTTCTTAGTACTAAGTTCTTCATACTCGGCCCAAAGGAATGTATCTCTATCCTCACGTGGCAGACACTGGTGCCAGCTCTAGCCATCTGCCACTGCCTTGCAACTTCCAAGGAAGGACCCATCAGCCCATAGCTCCCCATTCAGAGCTGAAGCTATACCTCCTATTATTAATTTTCACCAAGCATCATTAATGCTTAATTTAATGTTGCCTGATGCTCCCGTGAGTAAGAGCATAAACTCATGGTCCTGGCAGTTGAGAAACAATGCTTTCTGCAGTTAGAAAGAACCACACTACCATCTCAGATCAATAAGACGGGACAATTCTCCAACAGCAAGGAGTTACTGCAATTAACGTGGCGTGAAAACGGGGATCAGCCACTTGCATTGTCATTGTTTCTTGGGGTCCCCCATTCTCCCCACTTTCTAAAGGCTGACACCAACAATACCAATTTCAGATCAAACCTATACTTCATGGAGCTGTAGAATGTCAGGCTTGGAAGGAGTGGGGGGGTGGTTCTCTCAAGTCCCAAGTAAGGGGGAGATGAGGTAGACGAGGACACCCCCGGGAGAGCACAGGAGGCTCCAGGGATTCAGCTCCGACAGGGACTGTGTCCATCCTGGGGCTGAGCTCACTTTCCAATGACCTCAGAATGCATACAAGATAACTCGAATGGGCACCCTGGGCACCATGCTCGTCCTGCTCCTCTCGGAAATGCCAAGAACGTAAGAAATATTATCTCAGTCAAGCTCAGCCTGCTTGGGCCAGGAGGCCTGTCTCTGGAAAAGGTCACATGGCAATCTTGGTGGGCATGCATGCCCCACAGCATTTTCAGAAAAGAAACCCAATACCCCTGGCTCGGCTCCGCGCATGTGCCATGAATGATCAGTAATGACATTCCCCTTGAGCCCACATCCCTTTCCTACCTCTGCTCCCTCTGGTTGTCAGTCTGTGACCAGCTGCGGAAAGAAAGCACTACTTGCTTTTTATTTATTCTAAAACATTTCAAAGTCCTGACAAGGGACAAGCTCTGACTTCCAGAGCTGGTTGATAAATCTGTGGCCCTCCCACCATGGCCTAGGGGAGCTTTAAACTGTGGTCACTTCTTCTCTTGTCTTGGTGTTGCCAGACCGGGCAGTCCCAAACCTTCCAGCCAACCCTCAAAAGCGAAGTGTTCCTTGGGACTGGCAGAATAGAAAGTTCCCCTCTTTTGTAATATGACCCTCGTCGGGTTTCTGTCCACAAAGCAGATATTTAAGACATGTGAATTCACTTCAGCTGCACAATTGAAGTCTTTTTTGCAAATTTGACTATTTGCCATCCTTTGTCCTCCTTTGAACCCTCCATGAACTCGGTGGCACAGCTGACTGTGCACTGCTCAATGCAAGGGCGTTATTTTTACATACACGCATCTGCACATCTAAATAAGAAAGCCCTGCCACGGTGGGGTCGTGTCACTAAAGCAAATCTAAAGCAAATCTAACGGGTTTGGGCAGAACACCCTTAAGGGGGGTCCCTGACATTGAGGTCCATGAAAGGTGCTGGGGGGGGCCCACCATGTCTACAGGCTGGTCTACCCCAGAATGCAGAAAACGAAAAGGATGCAGAATGCGATCCTTGAACACCCACTGGGATGCGTTCCCGGCTCAGCCTGTCAAAAGCAGTGAACTTTACAAAGAGACACATTTGGCCTCTTCTCTGCATGCATACCTGGTAGCAGGTGGGAACATTCTGCTCTCCGACACCTTTAGCGTCACCATTGTCTGTGTCCAAATACACAGAAGGATGTCTCTCAGAGACGGGGAGAAGCAGAGGCAGGACTGTCACTCTGAAGGATTTTCCAAAGGAACCGTTTCTGGAAGAAGACAGCTCCTTCTGGAAGCACTGCCATACAAGGGCTTCATCCTGAATTCAAGTTGGGGGCTAATACAGGCTTTCTCTTCCCTTTGGTGGGGTTTGTATGTATTTTGATGTGTATGGCTGGCCGATCCTTTTGAAAGCTAACCTCTCGCAAGCTTCCTCCCTTGTGAGATAGTTTGGGACTGACACTTCTCAGTGCCTACCCCGACTGTGCAAAACCTCTGCAGAAGACACCCCACATAACAGGTCACTGCTGCCAAGGGCTGGCACCAGCCACCAGCTGGCCCTGCTAGGATGTTCTTGTACCGTCTGTGGATACGCACCCGTGAGGCTGCATCAGCCAGGGAAAGAACTGGTCCAAGGCGGCTCCCTCTTTCCAGGGACGCACTGAGGACACACGCTGCTGTGACCAGCACAGCTTCTGGAACGTTCTAAGGAGGGGCAAGAGTCTGGCAGACGCACGGATGCTGGGACCAGGGGTTTTTCCAAGGGCCACTCTTCCCCTTCCGATTGCTCTAGTTGCCCTGCTCAACATTTCTGGGCTAACACAGTGAACGTGACACTTCTCAATGAAAATCTTTGTCATCATCCTACCACCAGGCCTTCTGTTTCTACTACATCAGATTACAACTGCTCCCACTCAACGTCCATTTTGATAGTATGGACACCAAACTACACAGAGCTCTTTAGTGGATACAAAATCATGAAATATCACCCATTTCCTGCTTTGGGACAGAAACCCAAAGCAAGTATCCAAACTCAATGTCTTCAGAGTCCAAAAGCAGAAACAGTGACCCTGAGTACTCGGTCTGGCCCAGGATCAGGAGTCCACGGCTAGGCCGGTGGCTTGGAGGTCTCTGGACTTTCAGGCCGTGTCCAACAGTGGGGAGATAAGCCTGGGGACACTTGGAGAGGAGGGTGTGATGGGTCCCAGGGGACCCTCAGGGTCAGGCAGCATGGGACAGAGGCCTCCAGGCTCTAAGCACCTTCCATCAAGCCATGTTCACCACATCTGACTTCCCAGCACATTCATAAGCCACCCCCTACTCTACTACCCCTTGCCCTGTTCAAATCGCCCACGATCATGAGTAGGGGGCGTTCCTGTGCATTTTTCACACCTTAATGCATCTTAATTTCCTCACCTGGCTGCTTTGCTGAGCAATCAAGCCACGTTCCCTTAGCTGATGGATTTTCCCTCTCTGCCAAGGTGACAAGTGTTATAAGCAGCGTGATTATTCACAGGCCCAACTGCAAAGTTTCACACATGCAACGCTGCTCATCGCAATGCCTGGTGAGACAAATACATAACAGGTGAGTTTCTAGAAGCTGAATAGTGTAAAAAAAGGTGATTGTAAGCTACCCTCTACATTCCTGCAAGAGATGCCAGAAATTAAATCTGATATTCCCAAAGAAACAATGCTATGGTGGGGTCTCATAATGGTTCACATGCAGGATGCAAAAGGCAAAAGGCACACAGGGCACAGAGTGAAGGGCACGGCCAGTCCCCTCCGCGCCCGCCCCGCCCTGACTGCCGCCCACAGCTCCCCCTGAAAGATCCAGTCTCGGCTCAAGGTCTTTTACAGAAAGGATCACAAGTCCCAAATTTTGAAGAACAATGTAAATGACGTTTCTGTATCACTTAACAGAAAGTTTCTAATGAGTGTATAAATGAGTGAACCAGATAACCCAACAAAACCATATATAACCGAATGTAATAACACTCCATCTCATTGTTCCTCCCCCACCCCCTAGTCCCCGTGAGAAGGTACAAGAATACCATTTAGATCAAGGAATTTCAGGGACTTCTGGACGTTTTCAGAGGCTTGCAGTAAAGCACTTAGGGAAGCAGGACCACTTCAAAGCTTTCTGAGAAACTCGTCTTTCCCCCTTCTTGCTTACTTTAAATTTCCCAATGCAAATGTGCGTACCAGGCGCCAAGCGTTTAACTGAAGGACAGTCAAACGCAGCCAAGTTCTTCCCTGACTGTTCAAGGGCATGTCTATCCCCTCGGCCGGCAGAGGCCAGTGCCTCTGGGTGCTGGTGGGGAGGAAGCGTGGGCCTAAGCATCCCTTTTACATTTTAGCCACATGTCCCTAACATTTCTTCAGAACCAAACGTAAATAAACTACAAGCAGGCTTAAACACCTAAGCACCCACCTAAACGTGTACCCTCCCTTGCTACGTAGCATCCTGGTTGAAGGTTTTCCATGCAGGGAACCCTGGGACCTTGCCTCCTGCCCCAACTCTGGCACTGCCATGCCCTGTCCTTCCTTAATTAGAAAGCTCCTGACTTCCGCCTCTTCCATTAAAATTTCCTAAGAGAGGGCAGGTAACAACTTCTCCTCAGCCTTCTAGAAAAATCACTGCCTGTTCACTTACACCTCCCCTCTACTCCTCTACCAGCAGAGGAAACACACACACACACACACACACACACACACACCAGAACCTCCCTGAAGGATGAAGTGTAACCCTTTCCACACCAATCCCAATCACAGCTGGCATTTGCTGAATACCTACTGTGAGGTAGGCAATGCGACTACAATACTGTGCTGCAGACGGTCACACATGCACCTCCTGAGACGGAGCTCAGTGAGTCCTTGAACCTTTTATGTTGTTCCCTAGGCCTGGGCTATCACTTCTCCCCACCATTAGAAGCCCCACCCCCGCAGTAGAACTTACTATTTCATATCACCAGCCAGCTGCTACCAGGTAACAGGCTGGTCAGAAATGAACACCTGAGTGGGCTCCATGCCCCTCCCATCCCAAGGGTGCTAAGGGAAATGGGCTCTGGGGCAGAAATGGCTTCAGTTCTGTTGAAAAGACACCTCTTAGCATCTTCTCTAGACCAGGCACTGCTCCCAGTACAGGAGCCACACAAATGCGCCTGCCCAGTCTGCAGGGAACGTGCCATCCCATGGGTGGCCCAGGGCTCCCTCGATTCAGCAGTTTTATAGATGCCTGCTACCTCAAGAGACCCAGGGAGCTGGTTAGAAATGCCCCACCCAGACCCACTGAGTCACCTCTGCAGTTCCGGGGACCCCCAGGGGAGGATGTGATGGCCTAGGTAGTTTAAAGACACCTGAAGTTTGACTTGAGGATTTGAAAGGCTCTGTTACATTATGCAAATTATTGAACTTACAGAGACCACTGAAATGTATTCCTTTTCTCTATCTTTATTGCCTGTCCCTATTGCCATATCTGTCCAATCCACCTGTGTATACCTACCTATATGCTAATTAGATACTGATGAAGGAGAGATAGCAATAATGAAGAGGCCAAGCACAAAAGTCACCCAATACGCACAATACAATGGGCATGTCTCATTTGGGGGGGCAGAACATTTCCAGAAACAAAACACTACATGGTTAGTCTTGTTCCTTGGCTTACATTTTTATTTTTATTGGCGTGCAGTTTGCATGTGTAGGTACAGGCCTTTGGTGAGGTCTAGACCTAGCAGGAATTTTCAAGGAGCCCTTCCCATGCCCAGACATGTAACAAGGTCCTGCTAGCTCAAGGCAGTCTAGCAGCAGGGCGATTCCAGGAGAGGGGACAAGAACTACAATTTCTGAGTCAGCCACTCATCTGCATTTGGGGCAGGGCTGCTTGAGTGTGGAGGGAACGCTCCTCTCCCTCCATACTGGCTCCTAGTGCATCTCCAGGGCAAGCGGTGTTTCGTCCCTACACAGCCACACATCTAGCTGGAAAGAGACCCCCACTGGGACCTTCAGGGGAGACGAGTGGCAGAGCCAGCAAACCCTAGGATGCTCCCTACCTTCCACGAGCTCAAAGGCTCCCTGCCAAGTGTTCAGCAAGAACTCCCTTACAGACCCTCAAGGCAGGATGGTTACCAGGCAGCCGGAGCAACAGGAAAGTGACACAAACATATGTGGACTGCGTTCCAGGCACGGCCCCCATTTGAACTTGCCCAAGGAATCTAGGCCGGCAATGCCCTCGCCTGGACTCACCAGACCACACACCTATGAGGCTCTTTCACTAATTAGGACTGAATCCGAGCGCAAATTACATGGGATAATTTCCCCAAATTATGACTGTATCAAACTCTGAGACTAGTGAGGCTAGTCTCACTGAAGTACAGATTACTCACAGAATAAGGAATGGTCTTGCCTCATGTCTCCCAAGATTGCCCTCTAGGGAGAAAGGCATGTCTTCCAACAAGTTTAAAAACAAAACTAGCTGCTGAACATTTGAGGTTATACGTTTATGGGGGACATGTTATCTAACTGCAATATTGGATTATCCACCATTTCACAGAACACTAACGTGGATAACAGCATACGGTGCAGTCCATGAGGACTCTCTTCACATACTAACAATGGCGGTGGTGATATTTGTACCCTATGGACGAATTTTTAAGAGACTGTAAATTAAGTACTCTGAATTCTTACAATAAATTTATTTTTATCAAGAAGTATAGGAAATAAAAGATGTTCATGAGAACCAAGGACAGAGGTTTGTACGTTGTTTCAATAAGCGAGGCAATTTATCTTGTCCTGGTTTTGTCATGTCACTGGGCTCTCCTGTAGAATCAGCTCCCTTTATTTAGAATTGTTCTAAGAATTACACACACAGACTTGTTAAAGAATATTCTCTAAGCAAAAAAAAAAAGAAAAGAAAAAATGCCATTCAAACAGTTCTCAAGCAAGATTTAAATGTATATAAAATCCAGTCAACCTTTCAAGGAGAACTACTTAATATTATGATTATCGCTAATATTAAGTTTTCAACACTGTTCAACTTGAATCTGTCACACTTGAGAGTCCACAAATTTATATTTCTGTAAGAGTATCTTTTCTCCCTCTTCTTCCCAACTCTGAAAGAGAAGGCTAACCTTTCAGATAGGTTCTTCCTCAAATCACACTGAATACAAGAAACTCAAAACAAGTCAGAGTGCTAAAACTTACAAACATTTTGGCCCATCTCTGAAATACCACCTGCAGCCTGACCAGGCCACCTTCACAACACCAGCGTGGGAAGCCGCTGAGGACAGAGCTGCCCGGTCTGCATCAGCACCAACACCAGGCGTCATCCTGCACCCCTGTTCACCTTCTTGGGACCCATCGTGAAGAATAATAGCCACCTCGGTCAGAAACCCTCAAATCACCACAAAAAGAAATCTCTCCCCTCCCCAGCAAACCTGACCTTCAGGATGCACAGTGGGGGCAGGTGGGTATCCAGCATGCCCGTGCACAGTAGTGTTTACAAACTGCAAGTGGCCACCGGGAGTTTTTGTTCACTCAACAGAAAACAATCAAAATTATCAGAGTATAAGAATGAGTCCTGTTTCATGAAAACTTTCATTTTCATCTCCATAAAAATATGATGTCCCTGTATGTGTGCTTGATAACAGCGTAAATTTATTTTTTATTGTAGATTGCAGCCAAAGAAGTTTAAAAGCTGCCCCCTTGGGGGAACCGAGACAGGGCTTCCCCAAGGCTGGGCTTCCAGAGCCCTGTGTTGGGGGCACAGTGGAGAGGCTGCTGGTCGGGCCCTGAGACCTGGGTACCTGTGTCCTTCTGAAGGAGCATCCAGGGAGACGGATGGGAGGCTGCGACAGTCATCCTCCCAGCACGAAATCAGAGACCAGGCCATTTTCAAAGCTAAGCCACACTGCAGGTAAGAATGAGAGACTACTTTTACAAAGAACTTTATACATTAGGGATCGGGACAAGGCACAGCCAGCATCTCTGCAGGACTGATGCCCAAAGATGAGAAATCCTGAGCAAATCAGGCAAAAACCTCTCCACAAGAGAACAGGACAAGCTGGTCCCACAGTACATGAGCTACAGAGTATATGAGAAGTCCTAATTGTTCCCCATCTGTGAAAGCGCCTAATAACCAACCCAGGAAAAACTTCGTAAAGTTCCAACAGTCTGATTTCAATAGGACTGGATTATTCCAAAAATAGAAACATCAAAGTCACTCATTCACGGTATGATCTGAACCAAAGTACAAAAGGTGGTACATATCTGTACCAAGAAACAAAATAAGCCCCAAACTGAGATGCCAGGGGAGAATTACAATAGGAATTTAAAATAATTTCTGGTACTTTCTACCTGCCATAATATTAATATTTAGCTCAAAGATCTTTTTCCTTTGAAATATACTGTTATTTTACTAATTATGAAAATATTCACTCAGCAAATATTTGTTGAACACTATTTTAGGAGCTGCATACACAGGAGTGAAGAAATCAAAGTCCAACTTAACAGTGTTTCCATTCTGTGCCAATACATATATCTCACTAAGATAATGCTCAATATGGAA